TTGGAATCAAATTTGGCGAGGTTTGAAAAAGCTAAGACTTCCAGAAGATGTATTACTGTTGTTAAAAGTATTGGTAAAATGAATGAAATACCAACAGAACAGCATTTCATTGATTGATGTAAAGGTTTGTCATCAGATGTGAAAAGCAGAAAGGAGAGAGTTGCAAATGTAGCTAAAGAAACTGAACTATTATGGAGAAAGCTGAATATTCCAATTCTAGAAGGGAAAACTACATCAGAAAGAAAAAAAGAAAATGTATTGAAAAAACTTGAAACAGCAAATGTCAACAAATGGAAGAGTTGGATATTGTACTACAATTGAAGATACCGAAGGTATTCATTCAAGGAAACAAGTGTTGATAAAGAAACAAATGTCTATCAGCCAAGACCAAGATTTCTATGAATCAGCTAGTGAAGAAGGTCATTCAGAAACTGAAGAGCAGTGTTCTAACAGTGATACTGAAGATGTCAAAAGATGGTCACCATCATAAAATATAAAAGACAAAAAAAAATTTGGCAGTAAATTTAGTGATTTTTGAGAAGATTAGTACCAAAAAAGCACATAAACTCTGCGAAACTTTATCAAACGGTGGAATTTCTATTCCTACTTCAACTCAAAGTTGTGTCAACAAAGCTGTCATGAAAGAGTAAAATTGAAACCAAATTATATGAAGAACTTAAAAAAATGTGGCCTTTACACTTTGATGGAAAGCACATAAAGAAAATGGAACATCAAGTAGTTGTTATGAAAAATGAAATAAGAGAGGTTAGACTTGCTGTTCTATTACTGATAAATAGAAAAGGTAAAACAATATTTAATGGGATAAAGCTTGTGCTGGATGAATATGATAATTTGCTAGCCATAAAAATAATTGTATCTAAAACAACATCTGCAAATACAGGAATAAGAATTGGTGTAGTAACACCCTTACAGAAACATTTCAAAAGCATTGGAAAATTATCATTAGAAAAGCCGACTTTTATAGGATGCCAACACCATATTTTAGATACTCTATTAAAACATGTCATGAATTATCTTTTTGAAAGATCAACAGCATCACCAAATCTTCATTACCTTTTTGAGACAAGATTACTGCAAAAGTACATGAAATTTTGGTCTACAGAGCCAACACCTATTCCAACACAACGGTCAAATATATGTGCAGAATGTGTGCTGTAAAAGTAAAATATATGTGCAGAATATTGATGAAAATTGTTACTGCAAAAATGATGCAAGATTAAGTGTCTTTATATCATAGCATAGAAAAGCAAATCAAATACATGCAGGGTTGTCACTATTATTTAGGAACAAAATTCCCTGATTTTCCCTGATTTATTTGCCAAAATTTTGCTTTTTCCTTCCTGATTTTCCCTGATTTTTTGCTTTTTTCTCCCTAATTTTTCCAGATTTTTCCCTTTGAATTTTGCTTATTTCCCCCTGATATTTCCAGCATTCAAATGCCCTAACTTAACATTTAAACTTCTCCAATAACCCCAGAACATTTTTACCTCTAAAAAAAAACAGATACTATAATCCCCCAATGAGTAATGAACAAATCAATTTGCTTGAAAATTAAAATAAATAATCAAATGCTTCAATCAAAATATGAAATTTTTATTTGAACCAGGGTGTATTTAAAACGGATATGTTCAATAGGCATTGAAAACCTGTCAGACTTATATAGGGTACAAGATAATGAAATTCAAAAAAATGTAATGAATGCAATAAATTTCTAATTTTCTAAATTTCTAATTGTACGTTTTACATACATCATTTAATACTTTTTGCTTTTCTTTAAGTCCCAATATTTTTTTATCTAAAAGCATTATCACGCTATTTTCTTTTGTTCAGAGTTTTCTATTTTCCTCCTAATAGTTTTTATATTGTAATGAGGCACTACAAACAGCATTTATCATTTCATTGTTTATTTCCATTTTGTGAGCCTTCAATTTGTTTGACACGATAAAATCCTTGATAGTGAGACGAGATATAAGTGACATTCCTTTCATTTTATCACTGAGCATATTACTGGTAATACTTAAAACCTCTTTCAATTGATGCTTGCCCATGACATAATGTAAAAATAAATATCAAAACTTTTGACAAAACCTTATAATCTACACCAACTTTAATGGTTTCAAAATAAAACTTGTTTAAACAATTTCTAGCGTGAAAATATTTGAATACAAGTGAAAGAGTAGATGTAACAACTTTAATGATGAACTTTCCTCTAACAACTTTAAAAATTGTATAAAAAGCTTGATCACATTCATTTGAAGTAATATGTGAGCACGAAAGAACTAGATGTAGTACAGATTTCATCTGATGAAGACGATCAGCTTTTTGTTTAGAAAGATTTGACAATGGACTGATGCAACCAGTTGCTTTCAGAAAAAAAATTTGATTCTAACTTCTTTCAAATATTTTTTCCAGAATTCCAATGATAATGAGACGTAATCTTTTATGAAACTGTTGATGACATCCTGAGATATTGCATCCTTTTTCCTCAATTCGATTATGCCATGTTCTGCAGCAAATCTAATTGTTATTAATTTTAATAGCAGAAAGTTTTCTTTTTTTGTAAAATCATATTTTTGAGGTTGCCTGCCACTAACGATGCTGCTAAGGACATCTTGTTTTATAATTAAACCCATTAAACTTTTAACAATTGAGAACAAATCTTCAAAAAGAAAAGGAACCATTGGGGCATTGGTTTGATATCTCAGTAAGGTTTTCTGCAACAAACTTGTAATGTAACCAAAAAACTTCAATTTAGTCAAAGTTAACTCATCTTTTGTTCCCTCAAACCAGAGTTGCTAGTGCTTGGCCTTGACCTTGGCCTTGCCTTAAGGCCAAAAATTGAGGCGTTGGCATTGGCTTTGAAACTGTTGGCCTTGGCCTTGGTCTTGACCTTGAAAATTTTGGCCTTGGCCTTTAAAAAAAAAAACAATTTTCTTATTGATTTCGTTTTATTCTGCCCATAACCTTGGTCTATTTTTACAAAATGTGGTTTTATTGTCACACCACTTGCTACTTACAGTTGTGTTAATAATTGGCCTTAACGCAAGGCAAAAGTTAAAGTATTTGGTCTTGAAAACGTTTGCATAGACATTGGCCTTGAAACTCTTAATCTTGGCCTTGGCTTTAAACGCTTGGCATTGGGTTTGTCCTTGGCCTTGTAACCTTTGGCCTTGATCTTGGACTTGTAACGCCTGGCCTTGGTCTTGATACTTTTGGCCTTTTTAACAACTCTGTCCCAAACACTTGTCATAGCTTTTTCATTTTGGTTGCTTACTTTTAAGAAGAGTCTCCCAATACTTAGTTAGTTTTTTTAACATTCTGCCAAATTAAACAAAGTCTATCTGCAACTTTTTGGTCTACAACCCAATGTTTTGAGCAAAATGCATAAGGAAAACTCTCACATTCAGTAACAGTTACATAATCAGCTCTTCTAGCCAAAGAATCATAAAAAAGGTTGTATGATGCTTTCATTAACTTCTTATTCCATTCAACAGATTGAAAACCCGATTTGAAACCATGTGTTAGATGAAGCTTCCAACGTTAAGAAGTTTAGATAGCTCTTGTTGATCATGCTGCAATTCAAGAAGATTAAGAAGGGAACAGTTCACATTTGTACTTTCCATACTTAGTTGAGTCATACTTTTAAGTAAATTCTTTGCTGTGGGATGACCTAAAAATTTAGAGTCAAAGTATCTGGATTCAACATAATTTAGATTTCTGTTCCAAAACTGAAAATTTAGATCCAATTAGCCATTTTTAAAAGAATTTTTCATCAAATGAAAGAGTATAATAAAAAGATTTTTTTATATTTTCATTTAAAAGTCTGTAAAAAAAAGGCCCATTACCAAAATTAATTATATAACCAAGTTTTGTTTCACTCAATTCATAAGATTTAGCAATATTGTTATCAGGGAACATTTTCTTGTAAAGTAGGCAATTTTCATTACATGAGTTTAATCAGAAATTCTTCTGTATTGCATTTAAAACAGAGTAGATTTCTGTACAAATTTTATCACATTAATCTACTTTTTGAAGTGCTTGCTTTTTAGATGTAGACTGTGCAGGCAAGATACTGGTTTTAACTTTTGTGCATATTTTTTGCCATCCATGTGACTTATCATAACTCTTCTGCATATTTGACAAATTAAATTCAACTTTTCATATTTTGCACTTAGCTGACTTTTTTAAACTGCCTATTACCAGCCATTTTTCAAACAATGATCACTTAACCATTTTTCTTTGAATTGAGTTGCAAACATTGAATTAATGTAAACACAATATAACTAATTTTCTTGTTAAATGTTAACCATTAAACCCGGTACCCTTGAAAAAGAAGATTTTTATTAGAAAAAATATCAAAATATTAATGAAAAATTAAAAAGTTCCCTGATTTTCCTTGATTTTTTCCTAAATCAATCATTTTCCCTGATTTTCCCTGATTGTATCTAAATTTCTCCGATTTTCTCTGAATTCCCTCATTTGGTGACAACCCTGTACATGTAAAAACATTTTAATTATTCATGTTTTAATGGTTTTCTGTAAAGTAGTGGAAGATATGTCGCAAAATTGCATTTCCTATATTTAAATATTTTATATTTAAATGGGGGTGAACTTTTTTGAGATATAGTATAAATGTTTGATATTTTCTTTATTTTTGCATAAAAACTCCACTAAATTGAGTATAAAGATACAGTGTTGAAAAGTTGTCATATCCCTAATATATGTGTGTATGTATGTATGTATGTATGTATGTATGTATGTATGTATGTATGTATGTATGTATGTATGTATGTATGTATGTATGTATGTATGTATGTATGTATGTATATATATATATATATATATATATATATATATATATATACATATATATATACATACATATAAAATCAACAAATTATACATATTTTGATAACTTTTTTTCTTCGCATTATTAATTACAAAAGGTAGACTCAAACAGATACAAAAAATTAACATACATAAGGATTTGAAGCTACAAATGGTCTCTGTTGGTATGTTGGAGGAGGATCTGAGTTTGTAGGTTCAATCATTGCTGGTGAGGTATTATACGATGGAGAGGTCTAAAAATCAATATTTGAGAATAAATAAACTTAAAACAAATTAACAAGACACATTAAAATATAATTATATAAAATATAATTATATAAAAATTGCTCAGCATAATAAAAATATAATTGAATAAACATACCGCACTCTTTCCTCCTTGTTTTTCGAAGGGGTTATAATTGTCTAAATTTTTATCATGCCCAACAGAAAAATTTGATATTGAAGGATCCTAGAATAAAATAAATAAAATTATAAAATGAAAAAATTAATAAAAATTGAGATAATTGCAATAACTTCTCAACAAAATAAATATTTTTGGGAAAATTTTTATTTCTATTAAAAACAAAACAAAAATAAAATAAGTTGAAAATAAAGGAGCCTATAAAATACAAAACAATAAAAATTAATAACTATTATTTAAAAAAATTTAACTTACTTCAAACCTAAATAAAAATAATAAAAGAAAAATTTTTAACAAAAAATATTTATACTTTATGTAAATACTTTTTTCTTTACTACCTAAAAAGACTTTTGAAGTAATAATAATGTATTTAAAACAATTGACTTACTAAAACAAACCATTTACTTATTAAAATAAAACGTTTACTTACTAAAATCAAATATTCACTTACTAAAATATTTACTTGCTACTAATAAACTACTAAACTATGTTTTAAGGGATGCACCATCACAAGATTAGAATGATAGTGGACGCTGCATGAGGTGTTCAGAAAAGCAAAATAATTTTGTATAATCATGAACATATTTTTATAATAGTATATTTTTGTATAATAATTGAAAAGCTTATTATTAATACATAAAAACACAAAAGAATCAATATAATTTACATAGCAGTTAAAAATCTATAACTGCATTGTTTTTAATTTAATAAAATAACAAAATAAAAAAAGTTACAATCAAAAGATAAAACGCTTTACAATTTACACACTAGATTAAGTGATAAAGATTATTTTGAAAAACCGCCTTTGACAGCTTCAGCAGCTGCATTTTGGACATTTTTATTTGAAGCAATTCCACGAGCAAATTCTCCTTGTGCTTTTTCAAAACTTGCACCGCTTCGACGATATGCAGAATGCACCTAAATTAATAAAAGTTATTTAGAATATAAATTTTCTGTTTATTGTGAGATCTTCCTCAATATTCTCAGTATTTTTCAGTTTACAACTTATATACATTTAAACAGGGTCGAACTAGCACTAAGAGGCCCGGGTTAAGATATAAATAGAGCCCTTACAGGAAGCAAAAAATTTATCAAAAATTCTTTAAACCCTTAATAACATTTTTTAAAAAGGGTATAGGAAAATAAAAATTGATGCATATTTACAATAATTAGTTATTATTAAATTGTACTTTTGTGTGTTTTATTTGTGTATCTTGATTTATAGAAAGGCCCAGGACCTTTAGACATAGCAGGCGCCCAGGGTGGGGGTGGGTGGGGAATACCCCAACCTCCCTCACCAGTCCGACCCTGCATTTAAAATATAAAAGCCCAACTTATACCAATTTTTATTTTATCAAAAGCTAGTTGAACTACACTGTTTTAGATAGCACAAACGTTTTTTATGAAAGGGAAAACTCAATCTAATAGTGTAGTTGTGTAAATCGTTTGAAAAACTCTGAGGTAAGTACATTTAAATTCCTTTGAAAAAATAACCATAAAATGATGGTTTTAAAATAAAAAAAAAAGTTTAAATAAGTAAATAAGATTTTAAATAGAATTTTTTTTTTTAAACATTTAAATTTTATTTATAATTTTTTTATAACAATATTCAGGACCAACGACATGGGTTTTGAAAAAATATGTATAAACATAGAAATAAACATAAAACCTTTCGCAGAAGTAAGGTCATTAAAATACAAAGAACTGTCCATAATGCTGCAGTAATAAACATCATAGCAGAGACAACTTTACTTCCACCTGATTTTGTATCAACTTGAGCAGCTCCATTTATCCACCCCCTAAAATAATTTAATAAGAAAATCATTCAATCTATTTGAATAATTTAAAATTTTTTGATGATTTTAAAACCAAATAACAAAGCTTCATGTTACTTTTATATTTAATTTAAAAAAAAATTATTAAAAAAAAAAAATTAACAACAAGAATTTTAAAGATACATAATTATCATACACAGTCCCAACAGCTGATATTCCAAGTGAGTATACACCACATAAGATAATTTGTATAAAGAATACAACAAAAAAAAGCATATAGTTAAACGAGCTGTCAGACCTAAATAAAAAATTAACATTTTGCACTTGAAAAGTCTTTTATCAATTAACGCACTTGAAAAGTCTTTAATCAATCAATTATTACCTATATACACATAAAAAAGAATGAGAAAAGTTGTCACAAGTTAATATTGATAATATGTTATTTTTTTTGTTGTTCTTGTTATATTTATTTTATAGTTTGCTTTTTCCAAAAATATTTTAAATCTATTGCAAAAATGCTTGAAGTAAACTTTTTATCTGTTTTCTATGTTTTCAATTTATAATTAATTTTTTTTTTTTTATTAACTTTATTTAATGAATCACATAACTATTTTAATGTTTATTCATCGTCACTATTGATAATAAACATTAGTTCTTTTTTTTTTTTTTTTTTTGGAAACTGCCTTTATAACAGAAGCTGTAGTGTTGATATATATACATAGATGAGTTCTTGACTTTATAAAAATCCCGGAAAAATATTTTAATAAAAAATCATAAAAATAGTAAAAAATTCTTGATCGTATTATTGACAACAAAAACTTTTGTAATTTTTTAACATGGAATTTAGATTATTTAACTATTTACAAAAAAAACCCCGAAAATATCCAAAAAAGTTAATTTCAATGAATTAAAAAGAAAAAAAAAAAAAGAAAAAAAAATTATTACGAAAATTGTTCTTGTAAAAATTTAAATTAAAAAAAAACAACATATTTGTTTAAATGCAAACACTGTTGTATTTAAAATTTGAAATAATTTTTTTCAAATTAATAACAAAAAACATGCTGAAATTTCTGAAAAATTAAAAGAGTTTTAAGTGAATTTCCAGAATTCCAGGAAAAAAACTCATCTATGTATATAACACTGTTCAGCAATACCAACAAAAACTGTTTCATTGACAGCAACTAAAGTATCACAGGATACCAAAAACAGGTAGTTTATTAGACACTTAAAGCACTTAAAACACTAAACATGTGTCCAAATGAGGCATGGTAAAGAAAGTGTTTTAGTGTGGGGATCTATGAATGCTGTGGAAAACTTCGTCTTCATCAATAGCATTAGGGATCACCTCGTCTATTTAAACATTCTGACAAGCTTTTATGTGTTTTTTTTCTTTTTCTTTTTACATGTTACATTTTAATTGTTTCTTTTAGATTAGTCGGATGATGTACTTGTGCAATATAAGTGAACATAATTGACAATTTTGATGTTTTGTTAATTTGTAAATAAATGAGTTATAAAAAAATATTTTGTTTTATTTTATGAATAAATATATATATTTATTATACTATATACAATATAATATAAAATATAATCAAGCCTTCCCAGGAAAGGCGTGCGGTTTTTTGTCTCATACATCCACGAAAATGTTTTTCAAGTTAGAGAACGTGATTACGGCCGTTTGCGCAAGTTTTATTATATGCGTTGCTGAACAATTGTTTTAAATTTAATAACTACTTAAGAAATAAAAGTGAACTTAAATAGAAAACAATAATAGTAGTTTAAATAATTAGTGTGTTTTTTTTATTTTTGTTTTTTCTTAGTGGTTATTATTATCGGCAACAAAAAATCATTAAGTCAAAGCAAAAAAAAAAAAAAAAAAAAAAAAAAAATGGTTTTAAGCGTTTAAAAGGATGACTTTCCCATATTTTATGTGTTTTTTCTATTAAAGAGGAAAGAGAAAATATGTATTGTCATCTGTTTGTAAAATATATATGTATAATTATAATGTAACAAGTTTATATCAAGAGTTAATTATACGATCGCAATTTGCAAACTGTGGTAAAATATTAGGTCTTTAAAATTTTAGTTCATGCAAAGCTGTGTACTTTGTTTATAAGGAGCAAATTATTAAAAGTTTGCTAACGAGAAAGTTACAAAAAACAAAACAAAAACAATAAACTTACAGCTACAAAAGTAATAACACTTTAGTCACTAACTGCATTATAAAAGTAATAAAACTATAATAGTGTTATTACATTTATAAAGCACTTATTACTTTTAAAGTTCATTCTTTGTTCAAGCAACATTATTAATTCCAAACATTTATTAAAGTAGAAAAGCATCTAGAAAAAATAAAGCGGATATTCAAATATTATTAAAAATTTCAGGAACTTTCACATATCACTTAAACAACGCTATAAAAAAGTACTTTATAAAAAGTATAGCATTATGAAAAACATTACGTAAAAACACGCATTAATTTTAAAATCATCCAATAAAAATTTTTTTATTGGTTAATTTTAAAATTAACGCACGTTTTTACGGTCCATTAGTAACGTTTTTATAATGCTAAACTTTTAATAGGATATGTTTTCATAAAGTTGTTTGTCACGTTTTTATAAGTTACTTTAGTTTTAATATTATTTAAACATCTCCTTTATTCTTTTAAATATTTTTCTACTTCAATTAAAATTAGGGAATACTAATGTAGCTTGAACAAAGAATTAATTTTAAAAGTTATAAGTGCGTTATAAAAATAATAACACTATTTTAGTGTTATTACTTTTGTAATGCAGTTAGTGACTAGAATGTTATTACTTTGTAATCGTAAGTTGATTGTTTTATTTTTTATTTTTTCGCTAACAAATTTAAGTTGATTCTCCCCTTAAAAACAAGGAATACGGTTTTGTGTAAACTAAAATTTTGAATACTAGATATTTTTCCAGATTTTGCGTTTTGCATTTGCTTAATTCAACCCTTGTTTTTACATTAAAATTATATAAATAAATTTTACAAACACATTGCAGTTTGCATTTTTGCTATCCTCTTAAAAAAAATTAAGAAAAGGACTTCAAAATATATATTTTTTTTTTTGCTTCGCCTTATCTAATTTTGTTGCTCTAATGTAACTCTAAAGAAACAAAAATAAAAACAGTACACAAATTATTTAAATTATTATTTTGTTTTTATTTTTTTCTATTTCAACCTCTTTTTATTTTGTTAGATTTTGATTAGAACTTTTTCAGCATTATTATAAAACTTGCAAACAGCCGA